GTCGACTTATTTAAAGGAGACCACGATTTCGCTTCATTCACACCAAAACTTGTCGGAGAGAAACAAATAGTTAATAATACAAATAAGACAATCATTGAATTCAATGTAAGCCAATCAAAAAGTTTGGGTTCAAGTATTCATACGAGTAATCAGACTATACCTCAAATAAGTTTATGGAGTTTTGAAATCAAAAGCAAATCTTTTTTATACAATCAGGTATTTAGAAAAGTATTGATTTTAAAAATGTATTGTAATTAATGACATATTATTTGATAAAAGGTTAGACGAATGATAGGTTGTATTATAGATGTGGGACTCAATCGATTCAAATACAATCACATCGAATGGCTTCTCAATAACCCGAGCCCTAAGAACTGGAAGTTTAGCCAAACAGTAGCGCCGGCCAATGGTATTAGTCGTTTTGCTACAAACTATATTAACCATTATATGACAATTAAAAGTGTATTATACATAGGGTTATGGCTGTCTGACATACATTACGATCAATGCGGTATAACTTTCACAATATTTTGAATGAATTTTTTTTAAATGTTTTGGATGTTGATTGATATAGACGTGCAATTGTGTGACGATTTGGGCGATAAAACCAATGAGTTTGCAAATAGTTATCCTAATTATAGCGAAATCAGTCATTTTACGGATAATTAAATATTTTGATGAATTTAAAACAAATAAAATATTTAAATTTACAATTATCATGATTTAAATTTATAATTGTTATACGGTACTTTTATTTTTTTAAATATACGGTAAGTATTTTTAGTATGGGCACTTTAAATTGTATGAATTTATTCTCACCATAATTAAATTGTATAATAACTCATTATGAATGAGAATTTGAAATTATCATGATACTGGTTACTTATTTTGTCATGAATTTAAGTTGGCCTTACCATCACCACATGAGTTATTGTCACATAAATAGCGGTAAGCTTTTTAAACTACAATAATGCTTTATTTGTAAGTACCGTATATCAATTTCTGTTTGGCCAATAATTTACATTTGTTGTATTGTACAGTACAACACACACAAATACAGTACCATGTACAATTCGTACCATATATCGAATACATGCTATTATATTATGTTTATTAGGTAAGCTAGTAAATTTCGATTTTGTTATTTTACATTGGTGTTAATGTTTGAAAATGTGTGATTAAGTGATTTTAATTGAATTGTGTAAATACAAATAAATTTTAATGTAAAATATTAGTAATTCAGTTTTATTGATTTTATCACAATTAGCTCAATATATTATTTATTATTTACTCTACTTAATACTTATAAATTATAAACTAGATTTTTATAAATTGTATTGAAAACTCAATTAAAGTATTGGCTAAGACTATGCTATGCTTTGTACAGTATAGTAGCCATTGAAATATGCTTGACTTATAGATTTATTTTAAGTTTCGTATTTAGGTTTGGTAATGGTAAAAGAGCTTTTGGTTTTGGGTTTGTTGTTAGGTCTTTGATATGACCCGAACAAAACATTTGTTTAACCCGATTGAGTAGGTCTGGAGTTTAGCTAAGAGTTTTAAGAGTTGTGATTTAGTTTTTGCTCACTAGTTGTTATAATAATAGTATATTTTAAAACATAAGTTTTCACTTTTTAAATATGTAAGCAATTAAACAATTAAATGGATTAATTTATATTTAATGTTTTAAACACATTTGTGACAATACATTTGGTATAAACGTAATTTCCACAAGTAAATACATCTGTAATTTGCGTGAAATTTATTTTGTTATTTACTATAGTGTTATATTAAAGAAGTTCAATAAGAGACAGATTATAAGAAGAACAAAACATCGATAAGAGATTATAACTAAATCTTACAAAACAAGATTTATATGTAGTTTGTCATTACAATTACAATTATCATGATATCACTTAATAATAATAAAATTATATAACAAAGTAAATTAAAACAAAATGTTTTGTATGATGTGTTATTCTTTGTGTAACATATGGGAAATGATTGTTATCTGAGACAAGACTGAGAGCATTTCACAGGGAATCACAGACGGAGTGCTCAATGTGTGACTATAATACATGTAACTTAAAGAATCTTAAGTCTATGAAACATAGCATACGAGCGCTTTTAAGAGCCCGAGAGCCGCACTTCACTGACAGCCGATTAAAGGGTTGTACAGAAGTATGCACTGAAGTGCACATCACTTTGGGTTCGCATCCCTGAGGATGAGTTCAATGCGACCAAAATTAATATTCAATATTGAATGACTGCTTATTAGGGAGAGACTCGTTATTAGGATAAGATCGGACGGTAAAAGGACTTGAGCCGCATTGTGTTGAGTCTGTCTGAGCGGTGAAATGTGGCGACTGTAGTGCAAGAGTGGACACAAATACAATCCCATCATCTCATCTCCAGAGACGATGCGAGTGCGCAATCCTATGGAGTTTGGACCATAGGGTTGGGGGCAATACACAGAGACAGACAGACACAC